CCCTCGCTGGGCATTTTTAAGAAACAATTAAAAACATGGATGTTTAGGCAGGCCTTCCCAACAGATAACTCCTGACACCTTTTCCCTTCTTCTACAGCTCTCCCAGTCTGTTTGTATTTTCTGTTATGTGAAATCGTTTTATATATATATAATTGTATTATTGTTATGTTGTTAGCCGCCTAGAATGGTCCTAACAAGACTAGATAGGCGGGATATAAATTAAATAAATAAATAAATATATTATTAAGTTGTCAGCCATAAATATTCACCAAGTGGGTTTAATGAGGACCGTGGTTATTAACTGTTTTGTGGAGATCCCTTCAAGCTTTTCAGACAGAGAAGAATTTGACAGTTGGGGAAAAACTAAAATGGTTATGGCATGAGCTGATATTTTGTCCAAAATAACGATTTTGAACAAAACATAAGCTTTTTTTCTACATATGACAGAGAGATGCCATTCTTAATAAATCTCTATACACAACCTTTTCAGCTTTGGGGAGAAAGTATTTTTCACTTTCTATTTCACATGTCCCTAAAGCTTTATATTTTTAAAGTGGGGGTGAACCCGTGGAGTATAAATCCTGTGATCATGAGGGCTAGAAGCATGTTTACAAGATGGAAACCTATAGAGACTTACTAGTTGCAGCGGATGTCCTTGCAACCAAAATGATTTGTTTGATCATTTTGTGTACTCAGTGGGAAGGTTCTCGTCAGGAGAGCTGGAAGAAAAAACCGTGGGCCCAGGATAAAATACTCACGTCACAATTTGAAGCTCTCGAGAAACGTGTAAGTACTTCCAGAAGGTGTAAGAGGAAGGCGTGGCTTGGGATGCAAATACAGTGGTGCCTCGCTTAGTGACCTTAATCCATGCAGGAAAAAACGTTGCTAAGCGATTTCATCGCTAAACAGAATTAAAAAGCCCATAGAAACGCATTAAAACGCCATTAATGCGTTCCTACGGGCTTCAAAACTGACCTTAAGCGAAAATCCTCTATAGGGGCGGCCATTTTCGGTGCCTCTAAAGTGAGGAAACACAGCAGGCGGCCATTTTGTTTACCCAGTGGCCATTTTGAAACCGCCGATCAGCTGGCCGAAAATGGGGGCTTTGCGATGATCGCTTCCCCGCTATCATCACAAAGCGAATTTTCCCCATAGGGACCATCGCTAAGCAATCCATTTTGCAATCGCTTAAACTCCGTCGCTAAGTGATTTCGTCACTCAATGGAGCGATCGCTAAGCGAGGCACCACTGTATTCCTCCTTCAAACATGAAGTCTGTAATTGTGACCAGTTCAGAGCCCCCAAATGAAAGCATGTTGTGACATCTCCAGGATATCTGGAAGGGGTGTAGAAGATAGATAAGATTGTTATAGGCATTCTGGGCTGTTCAGAACAGTTGGTATGGTTGTAGACTATGTCTAGATGGGCGGCATATAAATGCAATAAATAAATAAATAAATAAATCCAATTTATTTATCTTAGAACTGCAGAGCTAGAAGGGTCCCTATAGATCATCAGGTCCACTCTGTGCCAAGGAGGCCCAGTGGGGAATCGAACTCCCAACCTACCTAATCCCCTGAGCTACCCAGCTCTTCATTTTGTGCACCCCGCTCCCCACAGCGTGTTGTGCTCAAAGCAGTTGACAAAGACAAACTAAATCTGATCTCTGTTGACATGTCGTTAATGCATCGTAACACATAATATTCGTATAATCCATATGAAGTTTTACGAAAGCTTAAAGAACCAGGAAGTCAATGAAGAGTGCTAGATACCCATTTTGTCAACATCACTCTTACATTAAGCCATTCGTTAAGCAGTTTGCGTTAAGATACTTAGTCAGACCAAAGAGAACATACGGTGAAGGGGGGGGAAAGGTGGCGTTGTCATTTTCCTCACTCTTGCCTCATTGGTTTCTTACAGCTTCAAAAGTGCTTCGAACCGAAAAAGGAGCAGCCCCCAGCCTCCAAGGATCAATTCTCCTTGAAAGCACTGATCCAGCGTCTTCACATTTCTGAACCAGCCCTGCATGTGATGAGTCTTCTGGGGCGCAAGTGAGCATTTCTGGGGGCTGTGCCTGAGACACCGTCTCCTGGCCAGCAGGAACCATTTTGTTTGTTCTGGAATCTTCAACAGGAACGGCCCTAGAACAGGGGTTCCCAGCCGTGAGTCCCCGGATTTTCTTGGACTAAAACTCCCACAACTAGCGGTGTGGGCCAGGATTTCTGGGAGTTGTAGTCCAAGAACATCTGTCAACCCAAGGTGGGGTAACCAGGGGTCTAGAAGGAAAGAAAAGGCTTTTCTCTGTAACAGGGGAGGTATGCGTCCTTAATTTTCAACTAGAAGAGTGACAGCCACCATTGCAGTCGTGATCTGTTGGAGGAGAGATGAGCCAACCGGTCACATTTCAAGCTGTTGGCCTGTGTGGGGTCATGTTCCCAAGCAATGGAAGGTTGACGGTCTACAACAGTACATGAACGAGAAAGAGAGTGTCAGAATTCGGCTCATCCAAGGCAACACACACAAACACAGATGGACGCCTTCATTTTTTGACTGTCCCTGAGGGCTTGGCTGGAGGGACTATCATGATGAGTTTCTGTACTTCAGACTTAATTGTTGTACCATTGATGGTCCACTGGAAATGTTGTCATGAGTCTATCAGTGGACTGCAGTTGGTCTTCTGTTGTCCAAACCTGCCTTATGCTTTCCTCTTCTTTTGTCTTCTTCTAGGTACCCTTCAGATTTGCACACTTTCTCCCGAAGTCGCCTCCCTGGGCCTTGGGACTCAAGACTGGCTGGCACCCGCATGAAACTCCCTAAACCACAGACCTGGGATCGGGAGCTTAGCAAACGTGGGAACAATGCTTCTGCCTGGGAAGACCTGATCGGTAAGTGTGAAAATTGAAGTGTGTCAGTCTCTTGCTTCATTGCCTTGGCATCACAATCTTCTATGGCGATCCGAGATCACTTGGGTAGCCGGTCAAGAGTGGTGGCAGTTGACCGATCCATGGAATCCTGGCTTTTCAAATTTGGACATTTCAACCAGGTGACATCACACTCTTCTTCCATTCTGGGGGTACCGAAAGAGTATGTGTCCTATTCTGCAGAAATTCCTCTCTTTTTTTTGGTTTTAAAATGGAAGTTGCCTAAATCTGAAGCTGTAAACAGGATCCAGGAAAATTTTGGGTGGAGAATGTTGGCCTTCTAGATGCCTTGATCTACAGTTTCAGTCGGCTGCAACGAGAACATTCATTGCAGAGAAATTATGGGAATTGCACTTCAAAATGTTTGGGAAGGCGAACGTTATTTGCGAGTGAAAAACCTGCAGTTCCTGCAGAAGGAGAAGCTTGGCGGTTATATAGAGTTCAGGGGCCTGTAAAGTCCAGCAGCTTGAAAACCCAACATCTCGAGATATAGATTCAGGGTTTTTTTGCTAAGGTTTCTAATGAGGACTTGGAAGCCGGTGCTAAGATCAGAATCCTAACTCTCTTCATTTCCTTGTTTTGAGAAGAAAAATCTGAGTATCCTGTTGTAGCGATCACCCTGCTTATGAACATTTATGTTGAGATTTGCAATAGGAGTTGGTGGGGGGCAGAGTTGAAGGCGGAAGAAGAAGAGGAGAAAATAGGCAGCGAAGAGTGGAGGAAGAAGGTTGTTTAGTTGAGAGTTAACAGCATTGACTGGACTGTTATCCCTTGTAACCATAAGCAATGTCTACTTGGTTCTTAAATGACACGTCGCCTGGACCTCAGTCATTCATAGTGAATAAAGTTGATGTAATCAGCTGGCGGCAGCTGAAAGACATGTCGCTTGAGCTTTTGCTTGGTGAAACAACAGGCAGGAACGTGACATCTGTGTACACAAGAGCTGATGCCGGTTTTAGAATTCTTCTCAAATGGTTGCAGAGTTGTGACTGTGGCAGTCCAGATGGGTTGTGTTTTTCTTTTGCAGATTCAGGGCAGCTCCCTTTCATGGCCATGCTGCGGAACTTGCGCAACATTCTGCGGGCCGGAGTGAGCGAGAGACATCACAAGCGCCTCCTAAAACGCCTGGAGGACAAGGTGAGAAGCCTGGTCTTTTTTAAACAGCAAGGACGTAGAAGGCTTTGTCCGCTGAGCTCAAAATAGTCCACTCTGGGCCGATGGTAGTTCTCCAAGATCTGTCTGTCTGTCTGTCTGTCTGTCTGTCTGTCTGTCTGTCTGTCTGTCTGTCTGTCTTGATTGATTGATTGATTGATTGATTGATTGATTTGATTTGATTTGATTTGATTTGATTTGATTTGTATCCTGCCCATCTGGTCTATGTGACCACTCTCGGGCAGAGAGATGAGTCCCCCCCCCCATTACCTGAACCTGTTAATGCAGTGGTCCCCAACCTTGGGCCTCCAGATGTTCTTGGACTACAACTCCCAGAAGCCTTCACCACCACCTCTGTTGGCCAGGATTTCTGGGAGTTGAAGTCCAAGAACATCTGGAGGCCCAAGGTGGGGGACCACTGTGTTAATGCATCTGTGACCCTTTAGTACTACCATCTTCATTCACTAGGTGGCAACCTTTCTTTATCACCACATAGGTTTGGCTTATGTAGGTTTGCTCACCCCGGAGCATGGAGTAGGCAGCCTCCCCTCCCACCTTGTGGGTTTTTAAGGGTGCACCATGATAGGTGGCCTATCTAGATGTTCAGTGAGCTGTGTTTTCACTCAGCCGAGGCAGGTAAATTGCATCAATTCTGACAAAGCTAACTTTGCAACTGTGCCTGAGTTCACCTCCTGCAAACAGAGTTGGCTTGGGCATCTGTCATGAATGTTTGGGACTATCTTTTAAATGGTGATGCACAGGCTGAGGAAATGGGATTTTACCCACGAAAGCTTGCCATTTGTGTGTGTTTTGTTTTTTATTTTTTGGTGTGGCTCAAATAAAGGTATCTCCCAACTCTTCCATTCGTGTCATCTGAAAAAACACCCACAAATCTGTATCCCTTTAGTGTTAACCCCTTCTCACTCACTTTCTCATCACTGATGATTTCGGTTTCCTTCATTTCTTTTCTTCCATCAGCATTTCTCAATCTTTTCCAGAATTCTGTGATCCGTAGCAGGCAGCTCCCGTTTCGATTCCTTGCAGCCTACAAGATCATCCTTGGGTTAGAAAAGGCTCTCCAGGAGAACAGTAAGACCCTTGTCACCTAATGAAACTTCTGTGCCTTTGATACAGTCGAGCAGAGTGCTGTTCTGTTTTCATCCAGTTACGTTTTGTTCAAAGGGTTTGAATTGACATTTTGGTCAAAGCTTTTAGCGATATCAGTAATTCTCATTTTCAGCAGGAGGGTAATGTAGGCAGGGTTCAAGAATATCACACAACTAGAGATTAGCATAGCATTACATTTTTTGTATTTCAATTTTAAACAATATAAGCTAGCTTTCTTCTGGATGCCAAGCCTCTTTGGCTACTGGTAGTCAGGGGAAATTAAGATTTTTACATTCATGTATATGTTATGGGTGTGTATCAAGCACTGATGAAGGCCCAGAAAGTTGCCTGGCGTTAGATGTTACTGTTCTTTCAGGGTTTGGTAACAATGGGGAAGTACAAAGAGAGAAAACTTGGTGGAAATAAGTGAGTGAGAATGGTGGACAGGAAGTGATTGACCCTAGATGAATTACTGTATTTTTCTGTGTATAAGACACTACTTTTTCCTAAATCTATTACACTAAAAATTGAGGGGCGTCTTATACATGGAAGTAAGATGAGAACATGGAGAGAAGAAAACTGTGCGTATCATGGAAGTAAGCTGAGAACACGGAGAGAAGAAAACTGCGCGTATCTTGCCTCTGTAAACAGCTTTCCTTCAGTCATGAGGCTTAGCTTCCTCTAATCATGAGCCGTATAGAACTGACGTCAGCTGATGCTGAACAAACCAATTGGAACACACCTCATTGGAGACGGAGCCTGTAGGCTCAGATTCAACAGGGATTCCTAATGTCCGAGTGTTCTGAGCCCAGAGGCTGAATCCTCAAAACTATGTTTCGTTGTGAGCCCAGAGGCTGAATCCTCAAAACTACATTTCGTTAATGTTTGGGTTAGAAAAGGGGGGCGTCTTATAAACAGGGACATTTTACAGACGGAAAAATATGGTATGTGGGTTTTCCAATAAGAAGATGAGGTGGTGTGAGAGGGGCATCTAAGTTGGCTTAGGTAGGGCAAGTCTGAGGTTGGAAGTTCAATGCCACCCCCAACATGTCACATTTTCAAGATAACAGTATTACTGGCATCATTGCTTTAGAAAAGTAGTGTGGTGACTAGTATTGTGAACTGCAGGAAAACTGAGTGGTTTAGGAGTAGGGATGGGCACGAACAGAATTGTCCCAGTTTGCTGCTCCTCCTCTCCCCTGCCTCCTCAGCCATTCAGCCCCTCACAAGGCCCAGCTTGCTTGCTTTTTCTGCCTCCTCAGTTAATCTGCCAGTCACCAGCAAGAGCATAGATTTATCTGTCCCATCCTTCTGTCTAAGTGGGAGATTAGCCAAGAGGGCGGAACAGAGAAGCTGGAACTGGGAGATCAGTTGAGGAGGTGCAGGAAGCTAGTAGTGGAGGGGAGCAGCAGCACCTGTGCTGCCACCTTTATGAACTGGGACAAACTGGTTCATGCCCATCTCCATTTAAGAGGCTGGGAGTTTGATTCCCCGCTGTGCCTCTTTGACAGCAGCCAGACTCGATGATCCGTATGGTCTCTTCCAGTTCTGTGTTCTAAGATGATGATGTTTTACATGAATGAGTAACAGTCACTTGTTCCTCCTGAGTGATAGTGGGGAAGAGTAATTTTGTTGATCTTTTGACTATTTCCGGGTCTAAATGCAACTGTTAGTCTCACCCCGAGGAGGTCTGGGTTTTTTTTCCCCCCAGTTGGGTCTATCAATTGGCTTTAGCCATTTGTGTTTTAAAATTCTTTAAAAAAAATAGTACTTTGCAACAAACTCAAAAGTAACACGGTAACTTGTGTGTTACTCCCAAAGTAAAAAAGTAATATCTTTAAAATATATATATTTTACTCATGCACACACGCACACACAGAGAGGCACTCTGCTTCTTTAAAATCATCTTTCAAAATCTGGGGTTCATAGCATTTTGAAGGCTCAAGAGAGGAGATGTTGGACAGAATGGAGGCTGCTGATTTGATGGAACATCTGGCTCTCCTTTTTCCAGGTAAACCCTTTCCACAAATCTATCAGATCATTCAAGGGATCCTGAAGGAACTTGGTCCACACCCGGACACGGACGAAATGAGGACCTGGGACCGCAGAATCATCTATCGCTTAAGAAAGATCCCAGCGATGTTCCGCTTGGTGAGGATAAAGAAGAAAAAGCTCCAAAAGGCCAGGTAGGGTCAATATCTTCTGGGGCGTCTTCTGAGAATGGTGGGAGTCCAGGGCACGCAGGAAGAGAACGGGTTGCCTGCTTCATGGAGGTCCAAAGTCAGCGGAGTCCAGCTTCCTGTTTTCCGGCAGCTGCTTGATCTAAGTTGCAAGCATGCAGGTGGCAGGGGGAGGTTGTTTGGGTCTCCGGGTCTTTGGAACAGAAGGAGGGTTATTTAGCCCAGCCATCCTCAGCGGGGGCCCTATGGTGTCCTTCCCCCCCCCCAGGAGGGGTACTGGCACATTGGAAGAGGTCCACAAACTGGAAACAATTCTTCACCTTATCAAGTTTGTTATACAGTCTTGGTTCGGCTTATATTTCTTCCTTATATATATATTTGAGGTTAAGAATGGCAGATTTAGCTGACTTTCCTAAAAGCCGCTAATGCAAAACTCTTCAGTTCTTGGGTTTATGTTTTGAAACAGGATAGGCAAGTGTGGCTGTTACTAGGACTGTGAATTCGGGGGGGGGGGTTTGTTGGACTACAGATTCCATAATTCTCCTTTCTGGGAGTTTCACAGACACACCCCAGCTCTTACAGAGACCTAAAGTGTGCTCGCCTGGAGAGAAGGCCCAGCTGGCAGGCTTCCTGCCTTGAATAGGCCTGATTTCCTGTTTGGAAAGGAAGCTTTGTAGTACCTCTCAGGATAGCTTCCTTTCCAGCAGGAAGTTGGGGCCATTCAAGACATGAAGGGTGCCAGCTGGGCCTTCTTTTTAGTCTAATTACTACACTGCAATAGATAGATGGATAGATGGACGGACAGACAGACAGACAGACAGACAGATAGACGGAAGGATAGACGGATGGATAGATGGACGGATAGATACATGGATGGATGGATGGATGGATGGATGGATGTACTGAGTGAGTGAGTTTACCGCCCTATTATCCTGAAATAGTTGCAGATTTTTGAATTGCTGGCAAAAAAAGAGTCGGACACAACTTGACAACTAAACAACAACAAGAAGAAATTAAAAGCTCTACAGAGGAGAATACTTGCCAGTTCTTCAGATAGCCCACCCCTTTTTTCATTAACTGGCACTTAAAAGTCTAATCCACCCACTCAGACATTTGTAGGAGAAAGAAGAAAAGTGTCTCATTACTTACTATTGTGAACATATCAACAGCAAACAAACAAACAAACAAAAATCCTGACTTTCAGCAAGACTAAAGAGGGGAGAGAAAGCACTCAGCCGAGAGGCCGGGCTCTCTTCAGATTTCGAGGTTGAGTACAGAATAAATTGACAGTCAGCCCAGCCCAGCGAAGCCCCTTCCAGTTAGACAAACTACACAATAGACAAAGTTGTAAATACTCCAGCAGCAGCACCATCTGCTTGCAACAGCATACCCTCATCATAATCCAATGTCCTTTCTCCCCTCTCTGTTTTCCACCACAGAGACGTGCGCTGTAGCCGTGACACCCTGAAGCGCTACTGCCAGGCTCTTGAAATGGCCGTCTCCATTGCTGTCCGCCACAACCTGCCCCCCATACCTGGTCGCACCCTCATCCTGATTTCATGCACCCCAGAAATGAGGGACCCCTACATGAAAGCCAAGGAGCTATGCTGTCCTGATCCTGACAAAAGGGATGAAGTCGTACGGAACACCCCACCCCTCACGGTTTGTAAAAAAGAAAAGTCTCTGATTTTTTTAAAAAAATCCACCATCTGCCTCCTTGCTTTGGTAGCTCTTTGTCTATTGATTGTTTTTCTCCCATAACTGAGTTCCGAGGAGCTTCGCAACGAGAGTAACTCAAAATGGTCCAGATGGAAGTGTTGTGTTTTTTTTTAAAAAGGAGACCACAGTTAAACAAAGACCTTTACAGTTTCCAAAATTCCAAATACTCTGTAAAAACACTTGACATTAAAAGACAATTTAAAATCTAGTTACCTTAACATTTCCAAAATTCAAGGTACTTCATGAAAACATTTGGCATTAAAAGACCATGTAAAAATCTAGTCTCTGCTTACCATAAAATTTCAGAATTTCAGATTCTTCATTTAAAAAGACATTTGGCTTTTAAAAGAGAATTTAACATTTAGCACCTCATTACCATGGAATTTCCGAGGCCTGAGTGTCATCATACAAAATCTGGCTACTTGATAAGTGATCTTGGAGTCTATATCAGAAAGAAGAATCTCAAATTTTATTTTTTCCTGAATGACCAAGAATGGGGTAATGATCTCCTTACGTGCCACCTCGTAACGCGGGCAGGTGAAGAACAAAGGAAAGGAACAAAGGAGAGGTTAAATGACAAGCACATTTTCAAGAGTATACTGCACTTGTTTCAGAGATCTGTATAACCAGTAATCAACTGTTTATAGGCTGAAACCTCATTGGTTTAGCGTATTAGCTGCGCGAGAGTTAGACCCATTGAATCCGTAATTTGGCGAGTCAACTCCTCCATAAATTCAGATGGGCCTGCTTTTCTTGCAACCTACTGTAATATAGTAAATTGCAACTAGAGTAAATCCATTTGAAGCAGTGGAACTTACAAAGTACCTGACTTGCTGTTAGCAACAGGACTTTTAGCCATAGTTTGGGCATTAACAGAGCAGTCCTAGGCCTACTGCTTCAGATGTTAGTCCTATTGAGTTCAATCCCAAGCACTGTACATGTTTCTAAGGCTGCAGTCTAAAAGCATTTGTGCATGTCTTTCCCATTTAATACGGTAGGATCCCCTGTATCTATGGGTTCAGTATCTGCTGATTCACTTATCCACAGTCTGAAAATACTACAATATTAGAAGAAAAATTCCGGGAAATATGTTTGTCTAATGATGGAGTTACCAGAACAGGCCACTACAGGGTGCCAGAGACTGTGCTATGTATAATGTTTGCTGTTATAATAATGTTCACTGTGTTTTTCGGCATCTGTGGGGGATGCTTGGAACTGATCCCCCATAGATTTGGGGTTCTTACTGTATTTGATGCAAGAGTCTATTAGTGGCATATAAGATGGTTATAGGAATGGGGGAAACTTATGGAATCACCCATGTCATTGGTCCATCTGGCCCTGTGTCATCTACTCTGATTGGATGGCTTGTCTGCATTTCCTGCCGGGTTGATTACTTGGAGCCATGTGACATTGCCCAGAGGTCCTCCTATACAGATCTTAACCAGGATGGAGAGCCTGCTTAGCTTCCAAAATGCAAAATAAAGTCAAATTTGGTCAGGAAGGTCTAGCAGCTATCCTGAAAATGGACAACGATGCATGCGTAGATGTCTAGAAAGTAGAAGGCGACAGTAGCTGAACAGAGATCATCAGGATTGTCCCGAGTGAAAAATGTGTCCCCCCCACAAAACCTGTCGTCTGAGGCTTTATTTAGCAAAACCCGAAATTGAGTTACTGACATGGAAATTACTAGAGTAGACCTTGGTGTAGATGGGCGGGGTAAAAATCCAATAAATGAATAAATAAATAGACCTTGGTCTAGATCAGTGGTTCTTACCCTTGGGTTACTCAGGTGTTTTTGAACTGCACCTCCCAGAAACCCCAGCCAGCACAGCTAGCAGTGAAGGCTTCTGGGAGCTGCAGTCCAAAAATACCTGAGTAACCCAAGGTTAAGAACCACTGGTCTAAATGGGCGAGATAGATAGATAGATAGATAGATAGATAGAAAGAAAGAAAGAAAGAAAGAAAGAAAGAAAGAAAGAAAGAAAGAAAGAAAGAAAGAAAGAAAGAAAGAAAGAAAGAGAATCTCTTCTTTTAAAAATATGGCCCATTCACCTAAATAAGAAATCTGGCTCTATACCAAGTCAGGCCATTGACCAGTCTTGTCTGGATATGAAAGTGGGTCCTCAAAGGGACTGAAGCCTTGTTTTTTTAAAAAAATAACGTATATCTTGTTTCTCCAGAAAATGGCCATGGCCATGTTGTTAGGCTCCATGGTCTACTCCGCCTCAGAACAGGCCCAGCTCCTTCTCTGCAACCAATCCGAAGTCTTGGGACCAGTTGACATGACCGGCTCTGTGCTGAAGGATGCACAGGCATTACAGTCTTTGGTAAGACCTGGGTTTCCTCTGTGTGTGTGTGTGTGTGTGTGTGTGTGTGTGTGTGTGTGTGTGTTTAATTCGTCTGACTGAGGGTACCACTTCAAAGCAGGCTTTTTCTGCTGAATTTATTAATTGAAACAAGAAGAGAAAATTAATGAGAGGAAATGGGCCATCTGCCTCCTCTATAGATATTATGACAAATAGTCCCAGGCTGTTCAAGAGGCTAGTCCTCCCTAATCTCTCAGCTCAGTTTGGCTGGAAGGCCTGAACGTTGTGGATTAATCTGTAGCAGAGGTGAACTCAGCAGCTGTAAATTGACCCCCTTAGAAGATCGCTTGAAGGAGGAGAGAGCTGGTGGCATGATATGAAACAGACTGAAAATAGCAAACGTGTGCATCTGGGAACATTTCAAGCAGAGATGGGCAGAACTGCTGGTCTGGCGATTTGTGCTGGTTTGTTTCTTGGCCGAACAGGCGTTGGCCACTTCAGAGCCCAGCCTCCTCCATTGAGTGCCCACTCAGATGCAGGGCCCCCAGCTTGCTTTCCCTGTCTCTGCCATTGAGTGAGTGCCTGTCAGAGGAGGTCGGGCTTTGAAGTGTTGAGCATCTCTTCAGTCGATACACGGGCCGGCACAACGCTGGTTGGCTGTTCTTCCAGGAGGCCCAGTGGGGAATTGAACTCCCAACCTCTGGCTCCCCAGCCAGGTAGAATCATAGAACAATTGAGTCGGAAGGGGCATGTAAGGCCATCAGGTCCGACCTCCTGCTCAGTGCAGGAATCCAAACCAAAACAGATCTGATAGAGGGTTATCCAATTGTCTCTTGAATGCCTCTAGCATTGGAGCGCTCCCCATCTCATAGGATAATTGGTTCCATCCTCCCTGAGCTCTCTCTAACGTGCTCCAAGTGGAAGATTAAAACCTTTCGGTGGCCAGGACAAGTTCTGAAGTAACAAGTGTGAACAGCTCACATACCATATTTTTCTGTTTATAAGACCGACCCAGTGTATAAGACGACCGCCCCCCTTTCTAACCCCAAATTAGAAAATTTTGATCCCTGTTTTTCCCTTCCTTTTGCTTAGCCACGGAGCTTAGCAAAAGAAAAGGAAAAGTAGGGATCAAAGGGCTCCCTTTGACCGCCGCTTTTCCTTGCCTTTTGCGAAGCCACGGGGCTTAGCAAAAAGGAAGGGGAGGCTCCCTTCAGGTAAAGGCCCACAGGGCGTATGAAGTGGGGTAACGCAGCTGTGAAAGAGCCCTTTCACGGCTGCTTCAGGATCGAAGGGCTGTGATCATGCAGCCCTTTCATTCCTTCTGCATTAATCTGCACTTTAGAAACAAAAATGACATCTAAGGTTTTCCTTTAGGTCAGTATATGAACATATCTGCGTTCAAGGAGGGCATGAAGTAGAGGATCTCTGTGAATCTCTGTGAGCTCAATTATGGAAAGTTCATGGAGATTATTGTTAATACTGCAAATATAAACTTGCATACATATTAGTGAAAGTCACTCGGTCTTGATTTTGTTGAAATTTGGGGAGTCCCTCTTATATTCTTATTGGTTTATATTGGGTTGGAAGACTTTTTTCTTCTGGCAAGGCATATTTTCTTATCTTTGGTTAGGAATTATATCTTACTTGGTAACATAGCATTAGCTCTTACATGGGTAAGACCCAGCATTGGAACCCTAACATTTCTTTAGTTCTCAGGATGTAGATCTGGGAAGAATCCTTCCCTGGGCATTGATTAATTGTATTTAATCAATGTACCCAGTTCTATGCAAGAGAAGCAAATGGCTCGGTCACAGTTGTTCCACATGTTTATAGCATGAATCAGCAAAATGTACTGGAAGAATATTTTAAAAACAGAATTACTCAGAACAGTAGACTTTTTGAGAGTGAACATAGCACCACTATCTGTGTGGTACTGCACGTTTGGCAATGAGCTCTCTGGCATTGATTGGCTGACCTGCCGTGATGGCCTGAGACGTTGAGTTGTCCAGGGGATGAGACAGTTTGCAGAGGGACTTTGCAAATTAAAGGTAAATTGCCAATTTGTCTGGGATTACATTGCCTCGCACAGGGTCAGGCTGTCTTGTCCCTCGTAAGAAATCCATGGGATGGCAAAGCAAGTCTGCTGAGAAGTCAAAGGCCTTTGAAAAGGGAAGCTGAGAGGAGATGGAGAATGACATTAAAGAGTAACTAAAAAAATGAGGAGGGGGGAGGCATGCCTTTGTATGAAGGAAAGCTTAAATGGCTGAGGACTCTGCTAGTTGAGTTTAAACATTTAAAATAAACACATAGTGAATTGTTCGTGTGCTGAGAAAGAGGAATCACTAGAAAGTGAATATGAATGATTTGGGGAAAAAATGAGTAGAAGGAAATTCAAAATTAGAATTCAGTGTCAATAGGTCAATTTAGCAGTAGGTTTAGGTAAACAAATACAAACACATATTACAGTGCATCATTAGCATATGTTCTTCACAGCCACCAGGACATGATGATGGCATTGAATATAATTATTAAAAGGAATTTTCTAAATTTACAGAGTCAATTAATCAATGGCTATTGACTGAACTAGCTAAACATGGACCCTCCATGGACAAAGGCACTGTACCTTCCACTGTTCGATGCTGTGAATAAGCCACAGGAGCATAGCTTCTGTTATTACAAATCTTGCTTTTGGGCTCCCCTGCAGAATTTGGCTAGCTCGGGTTAGAGATGGATTTCTGGTCTTTTCTTCAGACCTATCCCTTCTGTTCTTAAAATTTCATCTGTTCTCAGATGATGTTGACCCAAACCTTACTGGCAACATTACAATTCATCTCATTTTCCCTTGAGATGACCTTCCTACATTGCCACTCCAAAAAAATATTTGTTGATTTTACTTTTTCTGCCCTGGGAAACTGAGAACAGATTTCATTTTCTCACCTAGATACTTCTAAATCAGAAAGCAG